TTCTTGAGCTAGGTCATAACATATATAAGAATGTGTAGACACTGGATCTATCAATGTTGTAATCGAAATGGAAAACACAGTAAAACACATGAAATCTCATCGCCTAGGTCATACTCCTCATAAGCTCGTACGACGTACTGACGAGAAGCTATTCATATTTTTGAGCCGGCCATAGACCTAGCGGCATCCCTACCATGTTGGCCTGAAGCATAACTACCACCTCTCGAGGGTCCTTAACCCCTCTAATCTAATTGAGTGAACATTCGAGTCTAACTCAGAGTGGTCCTCTATGCCTATGGACAATCCCAAATAAAATGATCAAGTGAGCTGCAACCATAACATCATCTAGTCCCAAAATGGTATACTCCTAAATGTTTCTTCCCACATGTGTGACAGTCTGGATAAGGTTCCTTATTGAACCTCCAAAACTAGCTACTAATAATGTCACTAACGATCTCCACTTATGGGACTATGATCTACCCCCGTGGTCTTAGCTCTGAGCCGACTTCCTAGATTGATTCATTGGGGTCCTCCATGAACCCTGAGAACCTCTGACCCTCTTGGCTAACGTATGAACTGACCTCGAGGACTGTACTGCCCCTGACTCTTCTTTGGAACTACACTGGACATTCTAGCTCCTATTCCCACGACTTTTTCAATAGTTTTCGCCTAGTAAACTAATTCAGTAAAGATTCTAGGAGGGTCGACGGCTAGCTGAGTGAGGATATCAGGTCGAGGCCCTATTTAAACCTTCTGCAATTATGATACTCTGACGATATCTTTTTTGTGCATATTGACTCAGCCAAAGAAATTCCCTCAGCCAAAGAAATTCCCTCTCATATTCCATCACCGATCGGTCTCCCTGCTTAAGATGGAGAAATTTGTCCCTTAGGTCATCAATATAAGCCTCCTTAATATACTTCTCCCTGAATTAAGATAGAAAAAGCTCTCATGTTGGCCTCTTCGGCTCCACAACTAACTCGACTGTTTCTCACCAGTAGATGGTGTCGCTCTTTAGCAAGGAGATAACACAATCCAGATTACCCTCAGGGGTTAGATGTAATTGCCTAAGGGTGTGAAGGGTCTCTCTAAGCTACTGATTTGCTGTAATAATATCATCGTCTCCCGAGCCAAAGAATTCAATCGTCTTATATCAACGCAGATACTCTACCAAAGACTCCTAATGTGGTACTACTGTAGGGCTGGAGGTACAGATAGACGAGGTGGCACGACTGAAGTCCTAGGTATAACTCTCACTATGCGCCTCAATGTCATCATCGAATCCCTAAAAAGGTCATTTTATTGACCTTGTCATCTCTCAAAACCTCAAACTCTGTGTCTAAGACAAACTCATCCTCAGAGTCGCCTGCTAAAAAGGGATGACTCTCTACTTTACCATCTTGACTATGATCTGAACCATCATCCATACCCATACATTAAAATATTAAGGAAAAGAAGGGTTACTATAGCTATTCCAGACTCAAAAGTAGATCTCAAAATTATAGGGGCATGTATGTATATAAAAATTTACCGACTCTAACCCATAAGTCCTAGGAACGACTAAACATGGACGCTCTGATACCACTAAATATAACGTCATAATCCGTATGACACAAAGGTCAATGAACTATGATGTCACACGGACCACCGAAATGGCTAACCTAAAAATTTTCTTTTTAAAATAACATATTCTTTATCATGAATCCATATATTGACATAAACAACAAAATAAATACAAAATGCTTGTTTATAGATATAAGAGTCCCCAAAATGACTTGAATTTAAAAGTTACAAAATATTTAAACATATCGTTTTGACTCGACATATACGAGTTCATTTACAATATCGGAGCTCATGCACCCATCTATCCTATCATGGGTGAAATCTGAAATTCTACATTAAAACTACACACCTGGCTAACTTGCTCCATCGAGCTTTGGGCATCTACACCCAATTAGAAAAGAAGCGCCCAGAGCACTATCTTAAAGTTGTCCAAAACTTAACATACAATCGTGTCCTTGTTCTAGAGTGATTCGAGTGTCTATCTTGTTTCCCGAATATTGCACAAAGCTAGTCTTAATATTCCCTAATTTATGGAGTTTCTAAGTGAAATTCATAATATTAATTATGTTCTCACTTGATCTCTTATTAGAGGATTTAACAATGGTTTGGGTCCCTCAATAATACTTTTAAAATTTCCATGATTAATTAATTTGAAGATTGAGTTGGTATCAATATTGAATCCTTCACTATCAACACTGACCTAGGAGTATCGATACTCATCTTAAAGTATCGATACCAATGGCTTAGAATTCAGTTATGATGAATATATAGTATCAATACCTCTATAGGGAGTATCGATACTCGACTCTTAGTATCAATACTCCAATAAATATAAGTACCAAAATTGTATTATGAAATTTTTAGTTTCGAGACCCTTTCCTCAGGTATTGAAACCAATTGTTAGGATTTACGATACTCGATCAATCAACCGAAAATGAGCCAAGAGGGGGTGAATCGACTTTTTGAAATTTTAGGGAAATAAAGAGAAATGATACAAAATATTTTCATAATGATTTATAATGGTTCAAATTCCTCAATGAAGTCTACATCCACTACCTTAGCTCCTCACGGAGGATTTTTAACAAATTCACTAATTTGTTATTTTTTTCTAGCTCAAAAGTAACCTTTACAATTTCCCTATCTTTTTAATGGCTAAGATAGAACCAAAACACCTTTTACAGAGGATAAAAGATTGTAAACAAAAACCTCTCAAAGGAAGGTGTTTACACAATTAAGCTCACTAAAAATACTATGTACAAGAGAAAAGAAAAGATAAAGAGTAAAAAAAGCTTTTCTCTTGGTGATCAATTCTTGGATAGGTGTTGTGTAACCTTCTTCAAGAGTCTTGAACTTGTTTTTATATGTTGAAATGAGTTTCTAGATGTTTCTAGCAGTTGGAGATGTTTTGGAGCTGTTAGGGATTAATTTTTTGCAAAATAAAATTGTCCAGACAAGGGAGTATCGGTACTCGAGTTATGAGTATCGATACTGCTCTAATAAAAAATAGCCGTTATATGACCATTGGAAAGGGAGTATCGATATTGGGGTTTAGGGTATCGATACCTGCATAGTATTGATACCAAATTTGCATTCTAGAATCTAAACACATTTAAAACCAATGGGCAGTATTGGTACTACAATGAGAGTAACGATACTTCCTTTACCTTGAGTATTGATACTACAAGAACAATATCGGTACTTGTTCATGTGGTATCGATACTGTAGAGTCAATATCGATACTTCTAGCACAAAAAATATTTTGTGTTCAAATTCAAGTTTTGTGGACTTTGAATTATTTTTGAAAACTTTGCATAAATTCAATCTAGTCCAAAAAACATTTTGCCCTTAAATTTTTATATCAAAATAGGTTCAACATCGAGCCCTTAGTATCGATACTCAATGCATGAGTATCGGTACTCATACTTTAATTCCTACTCATTTAAGCCTTGTATAAGAACAATATCGATACTGCTCCTCCAATATCGATATCAATGCCCATGAATGCCCTGTTAGTGCATATGAAATCTTCTCTAAACCATCCTAGAGGCCCTAAGGAGGTCCCTAAACATCATTAGTATATTATTTGAGTTTATTAAAGTCATAATGAGTCATTATAACACTTAAAACACATAAATCCATGATTTACTATAAACATGCTTATAATCTCCAAAAGCTAATGCAAGTTACACCAATGCATAAAAAGGGCTTACAAATGGTTTAGGAATATTAGAATGGTGTTATCTCAAGGTCTTGGTAGCTGGAAAATGTCCAAAATACCCAAGAGTTAACTTCTCTTTACCCCTTGCTTTGGACCTCTCTTCAATTTCTTTCACTATCATAACATAAAAATGATATTACTAGCCAATTATGGGACATTTAGAAGTTTAAAAACATTTTCTAAGCTTCACCTTACCCCCAAAACAAATTAGAATCCCCTAGGTCCTTCAATTCCTTCTAAACCCATTTTTGCTTCAAAGCCTAAAACTTAACATATAGGGCTTGAAATGAACCTCTTGAAAAGGAGAATAACTTCCTTACCGTAGATAACCCAACTAAGTATTGAAATCCTTAAAGATTTAATCTTTGCTTCACTTGAAAGAGGGAAAAATGAAGAGAAGAGGAAGAGTGTTTGGTGAGGACAAATGGAGAGTGGTTCACGTTGATATCATAGAAAATAAGGGGTTTTAGATCTTGATTTGAAAAATGGGAGATTTACACTCTAGGCCCTCTTCCTTTTATTTCAGATTTAAAAATCAACCCCAAATGTTAACACTATGGCCCAAGCCAAGTCCAATTCCAATTTAATTAGATCCACACTATTTTAATAATCCTTTTGAGCTCCATCTATGGGTCTCGGGTCAACTCAAACTACTAATTCAATATTTGGGGTATTACAATTTACTTTTTTAGTTAATAATTCTTAACCTTTTTTCTTAAAAGGCCTTCCTTACCGTCACTTTAACAACTAGGGCGGATGCACTTGGCTTTGCAAGAGATCAAATACATATCTATTATTTTTTAATAAATAATTAAATATAATTCAATATATTAAGTGAAAAAAGGGGAAAATATTCATAGTCATTTTATTAAAAAAATGAGTATTACTTTTTTTAACTTCATTTTTAAACTTCAGGCTCCGTCACTGATAACAACTCTCTCTAGGCAACCTGATTTATGCTCCGACCTCAGTTGCTCCCAAACAACATATTACCTTTGAACCCATACATTATCTTAATGGGGTCTTCTTTACTCGAATGGTGTCTATCTTTTTATCATTCGTTCCAACAGATATCGGTTAATTCGATTAGAGAAGATATGTAAGAAAGCAAACATAACTCGACGGTTATTTCCAACTTTCATTGATCAAAGGCCCATATATAGAAATGCAAGCTTAGATTATACAACATTAAACAGATGGTTTCTTTTCTGTTCTTTTCCCTGCAAACTTCCCTACATGTAAGAAAAAGCCTCTTAAAAACAATACATAAGGATGCATGGGACTGAGCCATGACCGCATTGCATCATCACAAGCAAATATTATGTGGAAGAAAAAAACAACCTACACACAACCGGCACATGCATGCAAAAGGCTACCGATCGAGTACTAATGGCCGCCGCCCATTCCCGGTGAGAGGGATACTTGTTTCGGCGGGTTCGGCAATGCCAGTATCGCCAACAATCCACTGACGGCCGCCGTTATTGACCCGAACACAAAGGCCGGCAAGTTGCCTCCCCCGAATGCATCATCCAATGGCCCACTAACTACTGATATAAACATCTGCAATTTTTTTACACACAAATCAATCATCTTTCCAGTTAAAAGTGCTCATAATCATGAAAATCAAATAGACTAGTGTATCACCTGTGGGATAACTATAGACATGTTCAACACTCCTAGAGAAAGACCTGCCTTGTTCAGAAAGTTTCATTGAATCAGTATATGTATATGTATATGTATATGTATATGTATATGTATATGTATATGTATATGTATATGTATATGTATATGTATATGTATACCTTGACCACCACCAGCAGAAGAGCAGTAGATGGATGCCAGAGCGAATGGGATACTGAATGTTACCTGCATGAAGACGAGTTGTTATTGGTAATCATGGATCAGTCAATTGTTCCGAAGACTTTTCAACTCGTAGAAAATGGTTCAATTATTGTACTCGGTTTCTTAATGTTTATGAAATTAGTGGTTCTTTTTTACTAGTTTACCGTGTAATTCAAGATAAAGCAACATACCAATACACGTATATCTTTGTCTTTGACTATCATTTTCAAGACCACAATCGACTCTGCGTGGATTAGGATGGACATTTGACCCGGATCTTATCGGTTTCGATCTAATTTGACCTGATCGATCGAGTTTATTTTATATTAAAAAATTTGGATACAAGTCTTTTTTTAAAGATCAGGTCAGATTAAGGTTTAAGGTAAAAAATAGAACCAATCTGACCTGATATAACATTTTAATTATCTATTATATATTTATGGATAATTACAATAATACACACTTTAATATTATTAGGTTGAGAAGGATTTAATTTTCGAGTCGAATTTAGGTGATCTAAAAATTTGACCCAACTATAACTAGTGGCGGATGCACTCCCGGATAAGGTAGGCAAATGCTCACCTTAAAATCTGATTTTTCTTCGGATAATTAACTATATTATTGATCATTTTTACCTTAAAATTTTATTTATGTTAATCTTATAAACAAATTTATGTTAACGTATATATACTGGCATACAATAATGGTTAGAAACGAAAGCGAGAGAAGAGAGAGAGATGGACTAACCGCAAGTGGAATACCCAAAATTCCGAATACAGCCAACGCAGAGCCTAGAACATTAGCCGGAGGATGGCCAAACTCGGGTCCGGCACGATGTCTCCAAGCCTCGGCAGCCTTGGTAATCGCCACCGTCGACGCCAAGCACGCACACAAGATAAAGTTCACGACCCCCCACACGTTTTTTACCCCACCGATCAACCGCCCCACCGGCTCCAACGCCAGCGACGACAACCCCAACACGACCGAGTTGATCATCAGCCCCAACGAACCCTTCCGAACTCCGTCGCCATAATTCTTGACTTCGTGCGCGTTACCTTTCACTTTCCCTCCGTACACCTCCGTCCCCATCCAGTCGGTGTCGAACAAAAAGAACGGGAACCACGCCATCCAGTTGAGGCAAGTCACCAGCAACAATATCCACATTGGCTTCTTCAAGCTCTTGAAAGCGGACACGACCTCGCCGACGAACAGAGACCTTTTCTCTGTTTCTTCCTCGTCGACTTGCTTCGTGAACGGAGATTCTTTGACGGTTGTCACGGCGGTTACGGTGACTAAGACGAGGAGTATTATATCGATGATGAAGCATGATTTGAGATTGGCGCAATCAATGTCGCAGGCTCTTGTTTTTGTGAAGGGGAAGATCTTGTAAAGGCGGGAGTAAGAACCGGCGGCATAGCCCAAAACGTTTCCAACCGCCATGAAGAACGAGAACCAACCGTTGGCCGTCCTCATCTTTTTGTGGTCGTTAGCCGATAAGTCGGCGAGTAGGGCCCGGCACGGACCTTGCAACATGTTGTTAGCGACGTCGAGGATCCAAAACCCGACGACAAATATCGCTACGGCTCTCGGTTTCGTCGGTTTCTCCAACGAATCGCCTGCATGGTGACCCATGTCTTTAGCGAAACCGATGAGGAAGACGGCGATGGAGACCGAGGCGGCTCCAGAGACAATAAAGGGTCGGCGTCGACCGAACCGGGAGGTGCAACGGTCACTGTTGTAACCCACGATGGGTTGAACAAGGAGGCCGGAGATTGGCCCGCAGAGCCAAATGAAAGACGCCCATGTGTGGGGGACGCCGAGGGTCTGGGCGTATGGGGTTAGAAGAGACAGCTGAAGAGCCCAGCCGAACTGGATGCCGGCGGCAATGGAGGCGACGGTGATGATTTTCCTTATCGAGCTTGGAGATGGCGGAACTCCGTTTTCCATTGTAGTTGCCATGTGTTTTATCTGTAAAACTAGACTCCTTTGTGTTACTAATATATAAACATTCTTCCAAGCTGAAAAATACTAAAAACAACAATAATATTTTAAAAAATAAACATAAATTCTTGTCTCTATCATATGATTTTCATGTCTGTAATAAAATATATTTATTATAAAATATAAAAAATATAATTTTAAATTAAAATTATTTGAAAGTTTTTTATTTTCTTAAGATGTTAAAGTTGTTGATTATGTACGTGAAAATATATTTATTGATAAGGAAGTAAAATTATGGATCTATTGACTATGTTACTTCCCAATTATAACGTTCAAACAACTAATTTTTCGGATCTTTTATTATAACGTTCAAACAACTATATCTAACGTTTAGTTTTCGTTTCATTTTAGAACCTCGTCGTTAAAAACTTAATGCATTCAGTACCTAAATTATCAGTTTTGGTCTGCTTTAATACCTAAACTTTCAATTGTTTTCAAAATTTAACGTTAAATTTTGACGGGTACTGAAATAAAGCAAAAACTAAACTTTAAGTATGATTTTAATTTTTTTTGAAAGTTTATATATTAAAATAGATCAGAACTGATAGTTTAGGTATTAAATATATAATTTACCCTTTTAGTTTTATTATCCCTGGATCATACAATCATTTCATATGTACAATTTTTAATAATAATAATATAATAAGATATAATTATAAATTAAATTATTGGATTTCACCAAGAAATTAAATTTTATGTGGATAAAAGGTTTTCAGGCAGAAAACGACCACTGAAGACTTTCCAAGCGTGTGTGAAGATCACTTGTCTGAATTCCATGTTGTGATGATTCGTTATATCCTTTTAATTATTCTTGGCCACGTCAATCTTATGCTAAAGTCCATTTTCACCCCATTTTCTACATTATCCATCATGATTCTGCTCTCACCACATCATTAATAGTTGAAATTATTCTATTCACACATAAATTATCATAAACTAAAGGCCATTAATTTTTATTCTTTCATACTTAAAATAATAAATTACGGACCAATCGAATGGTAATCAGTTTGATATCGTTTAAGTAATGTCTCGAGTTCAAGTCATTATGTATGTAGAAAATCTCTGCTGGGAGACTCACACACCAAAACTAGGTGTGCGCCGCGGGTCGGTCTAGATTAGTTAAGGCAAAGCGTTAGAACCGAAAGGGTAACCAAAACTAATAATAATAAATTATGGGAAAAAAGTTAATTATAGAATCTTCAACACATTTATCTGTGTATATGTCTTCAAATACTACGTTATCGAATTAAGTTATTTCGGTCATTGAAATTTTAAAAATTATAAAATGATTATTTATTTATTAAATTGTTATAAAACGATTGTTGTAAAGTTATAATAGTGTCGGAGTCTGATAAATTTAATGATCATTTTGTAATAATTAGATACAATTTAATAATTATTTTATAATAGTTCGATGAAATCTAATGTTTATTTTATACCTTTTACAAGTTCAATGACCAAAACGATCATTTTGACATAGTTTAGTGACTTTTGATATACTTTACCTTAATTCAGACATAAGTTTTATTTGATTTGATTAAAATTTTATTATACATTTAATAATTTGAGTCTTTTAAAATTTTAATAAATTAATTTATGTAAAATATATGCCCTTTTATTTATAAAAAAATAAACTATTTTATTAAAAAATCAAAAGGTGAAATAAAATAATAAAAAATACATGACTTTTTCCCCTCCAAATCTCAAGAGATATTAATTATTATTTTGATGCCAAATTATATATATATATATATTGATAATTAAAATAAATACTTTAAGATTAACCCACATCATTATTTTAACTATTATATACTTTATAAATATATATATATAAAGAAAAAAAGGAAAAAAAACATTATCATTAGTTTGTTGGGATGAGTAGTTAGAGTTTTTAATAAGATATAATTCAAATTTTGATATTGTGAATTGAGCAAATTGAATTAAAAAATCAATATCACTTAATAAATCTTTGTAATACATAATCTAAATTAATCGGTGTTAAAAAAATTAAAATAAATATTTTAAGATTAACCCAAAAGTTTAAAGTTAACTTACGTATTTATTATTTAATCTATCAATTTTAGTACCTAAGTTTTCAAAATTTTCAAAATCATGTCTAAGGTTTAGTTTTTGTTTATTTTAGTACCTCCACCGTTAAAAACTTAGTTTAGGTACTAAACGGGTTATTTACCCAAATTTTTAATATTTCTTTCTTCTCCACTAAACCATGATTTGGAAGGGGGAAAGAAAAAACACAAATATGAAACCGACAAGTAGTCCATAATAAAACAACAGAACCAAATCCCAGGTTTCATCACTTACCGGCTTGAAAATCCACCCCTTGTCCTTCTTCAAGTTAAGCTGGAGTTGTTGAGGTTTTATGAGAGAGAGAGGGAAGAAGAAGAAAACCAAGTGTTGCAGAGTTGTGAGCTCTACAGCTTGGAATAATGTAGTGGGAAGAGAGAATCCGTATATCGATTTATATAGGGACTGGTTTTCGATTCTGAAATGGAAGGTTCAATCATGCAATTGCCTACTTTTGATTATTATTGTTTATAAATATTGTTTGGTTGCCGAGAAAGATATCTGCTTATTAGCACGTAATGTTACCAGATATTGGTATTATGGGTTAAAGCGATGGAATTCTTTTGGCAGGAGATTCTTTTTCTCCCCTTTTCTATCTCGTTTTGTGTTGCAGAAACAAGAAAATTTACAAAAACACACATGCTGGCAGGAAAAAGGAGATTCACAAGTCTTACAAGTAAAAACAACAAGCGGGTTAACTCATACGAATTAACTTCGAGTTGTAATTTCTAAACTCGACTCGATTCGAAAAAAGTTCAAATTCAAACCGAGTTGTAAAATACAACTTGAAACTCGAATAACTCAAAATTTTTAGTAATTAATAGATTGATTTTCATGTTTGAGTCGAGTCCCTAGACTTTATATCATAAATATATCACATAAGAGAAAAATATGAAGAAATACACATATATTGTATATGGTTATAAAAAATGCTTAATACAAAAATAAGTGCCTAAACTATGTCTCAAAAAACGTTTTAGTACTTAAAGAATTTTTCACTAAAAATAGGTGCCTAAAGTTTTATCCGTTACACTTTTAGGTGTTTATCGTTAAAAAATCGTTAAGTGATATGTGTCACATTATATTTTTTTATTTTTTAAAAATTAAAATATTTTAAAAAAAAAACATTTTTAAAAAATCTAGACATGACACGTGTCACTTAACGAGGTTTTTTTAATAGTAGACAGCTAAAAGTGCAACGGAAAAAACTTTAGGCAGCTATTTTTAGCGAAACATTCTTTAGGCACCAAAATTTAATTTTGAGTATAGTTTAGGCACTTATTTTTATATTAAGCTTATAAAAACCATTTATATTGAAATCAAATAATATCATAATATTATAAATATTTATAATTAATTTAAAAAGAAACTCGAAAAAATTGACTCGACTAGACTCGAATTTTATAAACTCGACTTGAAACAAAAAAATTCAAAGTCAACTTCGAGTTGTAAAATATGACTCATCAACTCGAATAACTCGAAATTTTTTTACTCGACCTGAGTCGATCGAACTCTCGCCCCTAGCTCAAGGTGTCTGATCTCGAATTTTAAAAGAATTAATTAAATTTTTGAATTGTTTTATATTCAGAGATTTCATTTGTTTATCTATTAATTAATTTAAATTAAATTTTATAAAACTTATTATAAAAATAATTGATTTAATTTAATTTACTTCATTTATAGTGTAACAATGTAGAAAAGCGCTATAATTCATCTCCCCAAATAACATAAGAGAAAATCGCCTCAGTGACAAAAAATGCCTTATAATATACGATTTTAACCAACTTTTTCCGGATTTGCCAAAATGAGCAACAAAATCGCAATGCGATCGCTAATTCGCAACGCGATCTCCATTATCGCAAATTCGCGTTGCATTTCGCATTGCGATAGTTGGAAATCGCGTTGCGATGGTCTACAGTGTCGTTGCGATTTTCCCAATTCGCAATGCGAATAAGTAAATCGCAACGCGAATTGGGAAAATCGCAATGCGATACTGACTATTGCAACGCGATAATACAAAATCACAACGCGATACTGACTTTCGCAACGCGATACTGACTTTCGCAACGCGATTCTAACTTTCGCAACGAGATAATACAGAATCGCAATGCGATTTTCAAAGTTCGCAACAGGTTTTAGTTTCGCAACACAAATTTTTTGGGTATATATCTACGCAACAACAACAACTCATAACCTAAATCCCTAAATCGCAACTCATTCCATCTCCATCTTTCACTCTCTCTGGCGACATCCGTTCCTACATCCTTCCCCATCCGGCAACAGGTCTTAGTTTCGCAGCTCGTTTGTTTAGTAAATTAATTTACAACCATGAAATCATCTAATGTTGATCATGTTTGGATAGATTTGTGTTTTGGAGGGTCATGGGAGAATGTTCATGGTGTTTTACAATATATGCCTTTACCCATGAATCTTCAACTAAAACTGTCATTAAAAAAGTTAACTTATGAAACTCTAATGTTACGTGTTTCAAAGAAATTGAATTTAGAGCCCCTAAGTGGATTTAGGCTATCTTATCAGAGAAATGGTAAAGTTTATTTGTTAACCGACAATGAAGATGTTGAACGATTCATTGCTTACATTAGTGTTTCAAGTGATGATGTTACATTGTATGTTGTTGAACCTAGAAGTAGTATTGTTGGGTCAGTAGCGGGTAGTAATCAACTAAGTTTTTCTCAAAACCCACAACCTTTCTCTAATCCAAATCCCAATCAACTTTCAGCACCAAATTCCGATTTTCGTATTGACCAATTAGACGATGATGAGCCAACAGAAAAAATTGTGAGTACTAGTCAGTATTCGAAATTTGATCTTGGTCAATACCCGGACTTTGATATTAGTCAATACTCGGATTTTGATGATGTTTCAGAAGAAGAAACA